CCAGCGAATGTTCCAACAACGTCATCCCTGTCTCGGCCGCCGGGACCCGTCCAGTCACCGCGCATGCAAATATCTCCACAAACTGGCTCAAACACAACGTCTCATACAATGGCCATAGCATATGTAAACTGCCCAGGGGAGGAGACAGCTCTTCCAAGTCCGGTCCGGCGTCCTCGGGCGGCGAAAGCCCGCGCCAAGCTGCAACTGTGCTACTCCACTCGTCATCAGGGAGCATCTTTACCGCCTGGCAAACTTGCGAGTCGGACATCCACCAGGTTCCAGCATGACCGACATGCCATAGAAGTCCGCCGCTCGAGTTCCCGTTTCTGTAGATGCTGCTAGACTGACAACGCATCGCGAGGAGAAGGTAGTAGGTGTGGTGTAGACACAGGAGGATAGGTATAATGCGCATCAGGAATCTTACCCTGAATGGGAGACGGAGGGGACGACGGAGTGAAGCATAGATCATTGTTCGGTTCAGCAATACTGCCTAGATGTGACACTATTAGCTCCGGAGGCCCGTCGCAAAAGCTCAAGAAAGCAAATTCCATCTTGTATGGAACAATCCGAAGCTTGAAAGCAGAGATGAATGCAGCATGGGAACACACCATAAACAAACAAACCACGGCCCATGGGCTTGTAATATATGTAAACACATTACCAACCCCCTTTGAACTCTCTGCCGCAGCCAGTATATCATCCTTCACCTTTACAGCTGCTTCACTCGCAGCTCCAATATTTGTTGTGTGTTGTGAATCCTGCGCGAAAACGCCCGCGTCGTCATCGAGATAGCCGAAACTCATTAAGTTGAGAAACTCGCGCTGGAAAGAGACTTGAACAGATTTCCAAAAGGTCGAAGTAACTTGAGCCGGTGGAATCGACTCCGTCGTAGCCGCCATGGTCTAGATGACTGATTTCCGGACTAACTTACTATCAAGTTGTTGGCCGAGCGACCAGCAAGAGTAGCAAGAGTAGAAGAGAAAGAGAGAATATTTGAAATCGGGGGGAGTGGAGCCAAGGGCCTGGTGGGAGGGTGCATGGCATGGCATGGCATGGATAGGTAGGGAAGGTACCAAGGTGTTATGCGTCCGTTGGCTTGGGTTAGTGCGGCTAAACCACTCCCGACAACCCTAGGGATGTTTACTGTTTACTAACGCGGGGAAACTGGGAGCGAGAAGGAGAAGGAATCTATGGTATGGAACTGCACTGCCTAAAAATTCAATCTCACTGTGCTGGTAAGTACATATAGTTACACTACCTAGGGTTAAGAGATTCAATTCGGGAATTCTGTGGTGGAAGAGCCTGTTCTATGGAACGATCCTGGTGGATCTGTCGCATTCTTCACATTTCTATGTGTCTCACAGCTTGATCTTGATCTCGCGATAATACGAATGCAGTTAAATATCGCTTACTCTGTTTATCTTCACTGATTGCTTGTATTTTGACAGGCTCGGCATGTAGATAATTGAGCTGTTCAGTAGAGTAGGCACTACATGTAGCTAGAGGATGCTGTGTATGTATGTATCGAATTAATAATCGTAAATCAACTATCACAGGCCTAGGACTTGTACTCACTCACGCTAGGAATGTTTTTTAAAGCTATGAATTAGGCCGGCGATACCACATGCCGATAGAATATCCTGGCTCATAGATATGAGCCACAGTAGAATGCCCAGTTGATGGATGGGGATCGGATTTAACACAAGGAGGACTTACTTAAGTACATCTGTTTAGTGGGATTTACTTTACCCAATTCAGAAACGCCACTCATTATTATTTTTGTTCCTTGATTCGACATCTATTAAAATAAATCTGTGCTACGAGTGTAACCTACATTCTCGATGTGCGTCCAAAAACACAGGGTTAACCCCCACCAATGTTTACACGGATCATTTTCATCATTGCCAGATGAGAGGCCCCGAACTTTAGAAATCTGCGTTTTGTTACCCTCATTTATGCCCATGAATAATCCGGTCCCATAACTTCATCCTCGATAACCATCAGCCATGTGCGTATACCGAAATGAATATTCGTATCAAAATCTGATAACCCTACAGCGTACCAATAGTTCCTTCTTCGTCCGGGTCGCTTTCCTCCCCCGAATTATAACCAAGATATCTCTCCAACTCTGCCACCTTCGCAATAGCCTTGTCCAGCTTCAAATCCGTATCAACCTCCATTTGGCCAAGTTCTATCGAAGTTTTGCGTCTTTTTGGCAGCCGATTCTCTGCCTCTAGCTGCAAAACATCCGCCTTCTTTCTCCTTATCTCTTTAAGATCTACATAGATCTTCAACATGGCTTTTTTTGCCTTTTTCCTCTTTCGTCGCCTTTTATCGTCCGAGTCTTCGAGACCTTCCTTGCGCGCGTTCTTTCCGGATTCCTTCTTTGCACTCTCTTCTTTCTTTGTATCCATGCTTTCCCCTTGTGTCATGAGCTTTTCCCGTTCTCGAATCTCAACCTCCTCATTCCGACGGAATATTGGCTCTACGGCATTGCAGTAATTGGAAATAATACGATGTTGTTCACGACGTTTGGGATCCGAGAGGTCGAATGACTCAAGTAGAAGATCTCTTGCAATTATGAATTCACTATGTGTGTTTGGACGCTTAAAGTTCTCAACTTCTTCTAGAGTATACTCGTTTAGCGGGCGACGATGAGGTGCTTGGGGAGGTGGTATTTCGGTTTCAGAGGATGAATGACGGGGAGTTTCGAGTCGGTTCATGGTACTTGTTGTTTTCTGGGTGAGGTAGTAATGAGACTATGTCTTTCTTTGAGAACAAACACTGTCATAGCAGTCAGCTATCCCAGCTCGCTTTGTGAGAGGAACAGCAGGGATTGGGAACAAACAGAGTTAGAGGCTTTTTAAGATATAAGGGAGCTTGTACCAGTATTCGCCTCTGAAGAGAACGATCAGTATCTTTTCGTAGTGCGAGTTTGGGCTCTGGAAAATACGCGTAGCATGTCGTAAGGTTAAGTGTGGGGTTGCAAGATCGAAGCTTGTCGAAGCTCTAAGCGGCGCGCGTACCTAATATCCCGCACGCGTTCCTCACAGGACGATGCTCCCAAGACGACGTTGCCAAGCTATGGTTTGATACTGGTACGTATAAGTACTAATTTTCAGCTTCAACTTCAAGAACATGCCGGCAGTTTTTAAGCTAGTTTCAATTATATCACTGGCGATTTCAGCACCCGTAATATTAGTATCTATATGGAAGCATTGAGTGGAAGGGTGCCATGGCCGATATCTTTTCTTGTGCTCGTCACTACATTACCGTCGAAATGCGTAAAATAATAAGGCTTGCAGTAGGCTTATCGCCAAAATAAGGCATGTTTGAGCGTTTTTTGACGAAAAATTGTGTCCTTAGCCTTTTCTCCATATAAGGCCTAAAATTTTGTAATCATTTGCCGAAAAAAAGGATTATATACATCTTTAGTTTAAGTGTTGTGAAATAATTTAAGCCTTTATACCAGATAAGTCTTTTTATCAAATAAGACTTTTTCGGCAAATAAGGTTTATATAAGATTTGTAATTTCCGATTTTACTAGCATTTCATCGGCTATCCTGCCTATATATTACCTCTAGCAAAGAAATTTCAGTTCTCCCATAGCTTAGTGGGTAGCATGAGGTACATTCTACCTACAATGCTCTAGGTTCAAATCCTCTCTTTTACTTTTTTGAACCACCAAGGACATAATCTTATCTGGAAAAAAAGTCTTATATTAGCCTTAAAAAATGCATAAGTCTTAAAATATGGAAAAAGTCTTATTTCGAAATAAGGCTTTTCGCCTATAGTTACTTGCAGTAGGCTTATTTACAAAAAAGGATTATATCAAATAAAAGCCTTATCTTAGGCTTATATAAGCGTCTCCTGAGCCTTCCGCAAGCTTTATTTTTTTTTACCCATTCCGACGTTAAAGTACCTTAGTAATGAAACCAGAATATAACCGAGTGACACACTGTGTCGCTAGCTCTTTGGCCTCTATCGCCCTAATTACCCCAGGACTGTGCCAAGCAGGAATGTGATCGAGTTTATAATTTTTATGGGCAACCGTGCTCGTATATATCTGCCACTTGTGTACCGGGTGTTGAGGGTAAGTGATCAGAATCTGATAAGCGAATGCTGCGGTGAATACATGTCAGATTCTGATCACTTTTCGCTACACCCTAGTATGGTGCGCCCAATCATAAAGGTAGTCAAAAAATTGGGGCGAGGTCGAGGTTGAATAACTTTCCAACGAAACAAATTATGAAAAATCCGGTTGGTAAAATTGAAGTACTAGTGATGAAGAAGAACTTTACCAACCAGATTTTTGATATCTCTCCTGGTTAAAAAGTTATTCAAGCTTGAAATTCGGTATTTTAGTATGTAAAAAGCGCCAAGACTAAACAAAGTGGAACAGTATTATACCCATTTATACCCTTAAAGAAGCAAACCTGATCAGGCCATGGCAGTGATGCAGCAGAAGGCTAGAAATGGGCCCTCTTATTGGCCCATGAGGCCATATTGCAGCCACAATTGTTCCACTTCTGTATCTTCCGTATGCCACCCCATCACCTTTAAGAGTGTGCGCACCATACCTACGGATTTTTTACTACGATGTATTAATCGGTCGCACGATTATTAGGTTAGCTGATGATTGGTATCTACTAGGTATTTGAAATACCCATCCGGGTGCTCTTATGACCGAGTTATCACCATACGTGTTTCCTCCTTAGTTTTTTTTTTTTTAAATCATTTCAATTTCTGTTTCTAGGTACACAATGATCGCGTAAAGTATAAACTATGGCGTAAAGAAACCTATCCCCTTTCCAAACTTATAACTCGCCCCCTAGTATAAAGCAAAAACAAAATTCCAAAAAAAAAAAAAAAAAAAATAAAATATAACAAAAGAAAGATAAACGCATATAGATAACAATGAACAATTTAGAGGGAGGGCTAGTTGCCTTTCCCTGTGAAATCCTTCTGGCCATTGGCCTTATGCTCTCAGTGAGACTTTACTAGGACGCGTAGACTGTGGGTATTGGGCCCATGAAAACTGCTGAAGACGTAGAGGAGGATGAGACTGAGCTGAGGGGGGATGAAGTTCCTGAGCCTGATTCGAGTGGTGAGGGTCCCCGGCTGACCGGGTAGCCTGTTCTGGTTTTAGTGATGTAGGCCCCTAGCTGGAGGGTAAGGGTGTGGTTGTCCCAGATTTCCTCAAGGGATTTAACTCCTTCTAAGGTTTGGGAGCGGGTGAGTGCAGAGGCGTTGCATTGTAGTATGGCATGGTCGGGGGTCTCGTCTTCGAGGCCACATTTCCGGCATTTGGGCGAGGTGTGTAGGTTGATCCAGGATTGCTGTGCTCGTAGATAGCTTTTCCCTGATCTTATTTGATGGATTCTTGTGGCGATGAACTTGTGAAGGTGTGTGAAGGGTAGGGGGGATGTATCTAATCTATATGTATAGTAGGTCGGGGTTGGGAAATGGGTACGCCAGTTATCCAGCAGTTGTTGCTTGGCTCTATGGGCCATCTTGCCTTGATCTACCCCTTCCTCGATTAGGGGGAGGAGCAGGGAGCAGAGGTGCTCAATAGGTGTATGTGCTACGCCTTTCTTCGCTCTGGAGTTCCATTTCTTTGGCGGGTTGGGTCGGCCTCTGAGGAGGGCGGTGTGTGAGGAGGTTCGGTCTCGGAGGGTGGTGGGGAAAGGGGGGTCTGTCCTTCCCGTTACTGGGTTTGCTAGTGGGGAAGCTCGGAGGATCCTAATGGCGAATTTGCACTTTAGGAAGTGAAGGTATAGTATTAGGGGGGGGGCTTTTGCTTCCGCCCATAGGACACGGTTATTAGTGGCTCTGAAGCAGCCTGTTGTCCATCTGAGGACTGCATTCCAGAAGGTATTCATTTCTCGGAGCGCTGACGTTGGGGTAAATACATTGGCTCCGTAAGTGAGCATGGGACGGATGGCGAGGAGGGCTACTTTCCTGCAATTTGCGGGTGATAGGCCTTTTCCTGCTGAGGAGAAGCGGTTGAGAATGCCAAAGGCTGCTCTTGCGGCCGCCGTTCTTCTGATGAAGTGGGCGTTGGGGTTAAAGTTGGGGGAGAGCCAATATCCGACCCATCGTACTATGGGGCTGGGCTGGAAGGCTTGGCCGTCCAGGAGTATTGGGAGGTGTGAGGTGGGGGACTTATCGCGTGGGGTTCTCCAGTGCATTAGCTCCGTCTTCCCCACCGAGAATGTAACGTTCTTAGGGGAGGCCAGAGCTGTAAGTTTATTATAGTGAGTCTGGAGTATGTCGATGTTTTCCCCGTATGATGGGGAGGCCACTGTAATGGCCAGGTCATCTACGTAGGAGAGTGAGATGCCGGGGGCGGGGTCATGTTGGTGGAGGAAGTTAATATAGATAAGGAAAAGAAGTGGTGATATTGGGGATCCTTGTGGGACTCCGACTTGGACGGCTGTGGGGATTTTGGGGGATCCTTTAAACAACAGCGTAATATAGCGGTCAGATAGGAAGGAGAGGACCCAGTTCGTGATGTAGGGGGGTGTATGTTTTGCTGAGAGGGTGGAGGCTAGGTGTTGTTTGAGGACATGGTCAAAGCCTCCTTTGATGTCTAGGAAGAGAGTGGAGACTTTGAGCTTAGCCAGCTGCATGGCTCTGGCCTCGTGTATGAGTGTGGTGACTGCGTCTCCAGTGGACAAGCCGCTGACTGACCCGCATTGGTGGTTGTGGAGGAGTCCTACGGCTTTCGCTATTACGGCCAGGCGGAGTGTTATTATTTTTTCCAGGATCTTGGAGAGGGTCTGGAGGAGGACGATTATGCGGTATGCGGCAGGGGAGGAGTAGTCCGGTTTGTTTGGTTTAGCGAGGATTACTCCATTGGCGGTTTTTAGGGAGAGTGGGTGGTATCCATGTTGGATGAGCGGGTTGAGGAGGGCGGGAATTATGCGGGGGTTGGCTCTATGGATACCTTTCCATACTGAATATGGGATGGTGTCTGGGCCGGGTGCAGAGAGGTTGGAGGTGGGGCCCAGTGCGGTTTGAACTTCATTGGGCGTGATGAGGGGGGTGTTCGGGAAGTGGATGGGGGAGGGGGAGGGGCCTTCTGGTCGAGGGGGAAAGAAGGCGTTGATGAGGTTATTGTTGAGGAGGGTTGGGGTGGGTGAGTTTGGGAGGGTGGGAATCTTATCTTCCGTCCTGTTGGCCATTTTCTTCAGTCTCCACACATCCTTTGTATCGGCGTTGGCGATGAAGGCGTTCCAGTGGTCTTGTTTTGCTTTCTTTATGGCATTGAAATAGGCGTTGCGCGCTGCCTTCATCTCTGAGGGGGGGGCTCTGCCTTTTCTGAATGCTCTGTGTATTGAGTGAAAAATGGTTCGGAGCTGGGAGAGGTCCGGGGTCCACCATTTCTTTGACCATTTTGAGATGGTTTTTGGGGGTGTATGTTGCTTGACCATGTCTGTGATGAGGGTAAGTGATTTATCGAACCAGTCATCCAGCATCGAGGGGGTGTCGCAGGAGGGGATGTGGGTGTTTTGGAGAGCGGGTGAGAGGAGGTTCCAGTTGGTTAGCGCCCAGTTTGGGGTGGTAAAGGGGGCGAAGTCTGAGTTTGGAAGGGCAAGTGAGATAGCTATGATCCTGTGGTCGGAGCCTGAGGAGTTGGAGAGGGGGAGCCATTTCCTGACAAGCGGCGTGGCTCTGTGGTTGGAGAAAGCTATATCGATGACTCCGTTTCTATGTGCTTGATTGAGGGAAATTCTCGTATAGGTTCCGGGGGTGTTGAGGATGGAGTAGCCTGCTCGACTGGCGGTGTCCATGTATGGTTGGGAGAGTCTAAGTTCTCTGGCTGAGAAGTTTCTGGCGGGGTCGGTTGCGGGGTTGTGGATGTTTAAGTCTCCGACAGTGATTGTCGGGTTGTCTGAGGTGGGTAGGATGGTGAGGGGGTGGATTGACCGGGACCCATCTCTGAGCTGTCTGTTATAGCAGTTTGTGAGTGTTATTGTGGTGTGTGTGTTGGGCCCAGTGTGGCAGAACAGGTTGACGGATATGATGTCTCCTCTATGGGAGGGGGGGCTTGCGAATGAGTTTTTCTGTAGGAAGTTGTTGTTTATGTAGGTGCAGACGGAGATTTTGTCGTCTGTGGAGGTGGGGGTAGGGTATATTGCTGTGAAGGCGGGGACCGCTAGAGGTTTCCCTTTGAATAGTGGGGTTTCTTGAATGGCGATCGCATGTGCTGTTTGTATCATAGGGATGGCGAAGAGGGAGATGAGAACATTATTGCTGTTGTTGCAGTTGTGTTGTATGATGCGTAGTGAATGGTTTTCTTTAGGCGTGGTGCTCATTGATTAAGCAGTTTGGGTGAATGGGGCAGCTGAGTGTAACGGAGCCATTTCAACTGTCTGGTGTATGAGTACACACAGGGCCCGGTTACATGCTGAGAGTTATTGTTAGAAGCCAGTTGCACGGTGATATGCAAGTACCGGCAGTGTGGTTAGCTACCAGCTGTTAGAGTAACTACATTCCGGGCGCTAGGAAGAGGATCTATTCATGGGAGCAATGACTGACGAGTCTATGCCTCGCCAGTGACTAGAAGACCGGCCAGAGTGAAGCTCTGATCGACCGGTGATCCTCTGTATCCTCGGTGCATTGTAAGTCCGCCGAAGGGCAGGGACTATGCTAGGGAAGTCTACAATAAGCGAAAGCTCTACAGCAATGATTAAGCTTACACCTGAGCGGCAGCTCATTCATGCAGGTCCTCAGTTGTGTGGCAACCAAGGCTGCAGGTGTTACAAAGGCTTTGACTAAGGGTGGTTGCCTTGGGTATCGGAAACACCTGCTGACGCTTAGAGAAAAGCGGGGTAGCGGTGGTATTGTTTCCGGTACTGAGGGAAGGCCCACCGGAACTTAGTAAAGGAGTTAGGAGCAGAGAACAGAGGCCTTCGGAGTATAAGTACTCAGGTTCATTCCCGCCCTTCAGTCCTATTCTCTCCAGTCTTCATCAGAAAGAAAAACCAAGTTCTTATCGGTAGCAGAGCCCTTAAAGATTATTGAGTTCTAGCGATAGTATCTTTGAATAATCTGCAACCTGATTGTCTATCTTGCACGGCCGTCTCTATTCTATACAAATCTATTTCTCTTAGAAAGGACCCCCGTTACAGATAATCTTTAAGGCTCAAATCACCTTCAGATTATTCTTCCTCTATACAAAATGTCCGCCCTCTCGGCTCCAGATGCACTCCTTCAGATTGAATGGCAGCCGGTGCCCCTCCAACTGGATGCCACCGGGCAGACACAGCTTGTCAAAAAACCCAGGACCGCTCTACAGACCTACATTCCTGGCTGTGAGCCTGCCTGGCAGGATACCGATGAGATCTCCGTCCAACAGTTCTTCACAGAGCTCCAGACCTACCTCCAACACAGCCTGCAGAATCAGTTGACCCGGGGCAGTCAGGCCCTACTCATTGTACAAGAGCGCCAGGCAGCACAGAATGCTCTGATGGCAGAGGCTCTTGAGTACATGAGGAGGGAGGTCAACTCTGTTCAGGAAGAACTTCGGAAGTATGTGGAGAGGGATGAGCTGAATGCCGATGCCATGGAGATTGAGTGGACAAACCCGGCTACTCCACCAGACTTTGTTGCCGAGATACAGAGAGCCCTTGATGAAGGAAGACTGGTGGTGGGGAGACCAGCAACTCCGGCACCAAATCCAGGCTCTAGGTCCTCGTCCAGGGCAGCCACCAGAACAATGCAGCGGAAGACCAGTCCCTTCGCAGCATTTCCGGTCCGATCCACTAGGAGAGTTATCCCTATTGTGCAGCCAGCGGTGGGGGCTTCACCTTTACCACCTAGCCGCTTCGGTGGAACACATCCACTCCTTGGAGGAGCTGACCGATCCTTTGACTATGAAGGAGAGTTCTTCCCAGGTGCAGGCCGTGGACCTCCCAGCCCACTAGCCAGGAACCCAGGAAGGTTCACCATGTCTGGGGCCGCGCAACCAGCGGCAACTTCACCACTGGCTAGCAACCCGGCACCAGTAGCACCTGTAGCCCCTCCTGCTCAGGCCGCCGCTCCCCCTCCAGCTCAGGCACAGGGAGGAAGTGGTGGAAATCAGAATGCTCCCTCTTCAGCTCAGGCACAGGGAGGAAGTGGTGGAAATCAGAATCCTCCACCTCCAGTAGCCCGCGCCCCCGCTCCAGGAGACTCAGACAGTTCTGACAGCTCCGATTCGGAACCAGAAGGTGGTGATAGAAGAGGCTGGCGGAGATATCTTAAGAAGAAGTTGGAAAAGCAGCAGAAGAATCTGTTGGCTATGATGTCCCAGCAGTTCCGATCCCCGGCCGCCTCTCCCCTTTCTACTTCCACCAGGGCTCGAGAACCAAAAGCACCACCACCTTCCAAGTTCCAGGGCAAGGCGGAGCAAGTGGAGACCTTTATCCGGCAATGTGAGAATGTCTTCTCCATTGAGAGTCTATCCTTTACCTCTGAGGAGGTTAAGATCCGATATGCAGGCAACTTGATGGAAGGAGAGGCAGCGATTCGATGGTATGAGGCATACCATAATTCAATCGATCAAGCCTCCGCCAACCGCCTTGCGGGAATACCGGTGCAGTTGGATCAGAGATGGAAGCGCTGGGATTCCTTTGTGGATGCTTTTAGAGCTGCCTTCGGTGAAGCCATCTCTAGAGATGATGCTGTAGCCCAATGGAATACCCTCACCCACACAGCTCGAGGAGGAATAGACCTCTTCCTGAATACTATTATTCAGCTGATGTGGAAGACTGGCTATGAGGGTCAGTTGGTGGATGATAAGATCCATAACTCCCTCCTCCCGGACCTAGGCATGAGTTGGGCTCTTTTTAATCCCAAGCCAAAGTCCTTGATGGAGCGGATAGCTGCTCTAAGAGAGTTAGGGCACACCCATGAGAGGTACCAAGGGATGGCAGCTGAGAAAGCGCACCCTCGGACCAAGAAAGATCCTCCCGCTCAGAAGGACCAGCAGCCTAAGAGGAAAAGAGAAGCTGCGAGCTCCTCCGGACCTCAGAAGACTCCCGGACCTAAGGATAAAGCGGTGGAACTGAAGGGTATCCCGGGGGATATTCTAGAAGAAAGAAGGAAAGCAGAAGTATGCTTGAAGGTATGACCTTTCGGTACTCCCTATTGGTAGAGTGCATAGACTGACTTGTGCAATAGTGCGGCAAGTCCAGACACAAATGGACCGATTGTTGGTCCAAGGAACCTACTGTTGTCCGAGTGGCAGCAGTGAGAGTACAAAAACGGAAAAGAGGGAATGGCAAGTCCAACTCTCAGAAGAAGGCTAAAGTGGCTGCTGTAGTAGCAGAAGATCCACTTGTTGTACTCCCGGAGGTTACAGAAGATTTTGTTTTTCAGCCTGAGCAAGACTCGGACAATGAAATCATCTGGTAGAAAAAGTGTCTGTTTTAGTCTATGTTTACTAGTTTTCTTTTATATGGGTTTTTGGTTTCTATGTTTCTCTTGAATAAATTATGATTGTGTTTCCGCCTATTTGATTGCTCCAAGCACTCTGAGGATGGGTTTAAGACCCGAAACAGCTGGTCTGTCAGTGCTCTACCAAAGTTACATTTTGCTACCAAGACACTTCCAAACCGCTGCTAAAAAGACTACTACACAATATATCTGCTATATTACCGCTTGGGAATAGAACCAAAGGATCTCTGATCTTAGTAGTGCCCGAAGCTATTAGCTATGTTGAAAAGACAAAGAGAAACAAGTTCAGAACCCGCTGTTAAGCAAAGAAGGTTGGAACAGAGGCTTCCCTCCTTACCAGTACATGGAAAAAGACCTATACTAAAGGCAGGACTGTCATGGACGGTCAAAGGAAAGGATGAAGGCGCCCAAGGGTCTTTTCTGTTTGACACCGGTTGTACAGGAGCTATCCTCAACCAGAGTTTTGTCAGGAAACATGGAATTCCCTTAGTGCGGCGGGATCAACCTCTGACAATGTTTGATGCTCAAGGAGATGTCATGATGGGAGGAGGCGAGTATTACACTCACCCGGTCCGCATGACTATGGGAGATCATAAAGAGACACTCCGATGGGAGGTGGCTACACTGGAAGAAGGAATGACCGGTTACCTGTCAATTAGTTGGGCTAGGAAGCATAACCCGGACATCAACTGGGAACTCAACACCATGAGCTGGAGGAGTGACTACTGCAAGCAGAATTGTCTCCCAGCGGCCACCAAGATTGAACTGATCTCTCCATACCAAATGTTAGAAGAAGAAGAGACAGTCTATCAATTGGTTGGTTCAGTATGGCATGATGAGGACGGAGGTGATATTGCCGAGAAAATACACCACCTATACCGGGATTGGGCTGATGTGTTCAGTCAAGAGAAGATTGAGGAAATGCCGCCGCATTCCCATAATGATCTGAAGATCAAACTCTTGCCTGGGACCGCTCCCCCATTTGGCCCGCTATACCCATGCTCCGCTCCAGAGTTGAAGGCCCTCCGAGAGTACCTGGACAAAGAGTTGTCTTCAGGAAAGATCTCTAGATCGAATAGCCCTGCTGCGGCACCCATACTGTTCATTCCTAAGAAGGACGGGACTTTGCGGATTTGTGTGGATTATAGAGGTTTGAACAAGGTCACTGTCAAGGACAAGTACCCGCTGCCTATCATGAGTGAGCTCAGAGACAGGTTGTTCAAGGCCAAGATCTTCACAAAGATAGACCTGAAGAATGGCTTCAATTTGATCAGGATAGCCGAAGGTGATGAGTGGAAAACCGCTTTCAGAACCCGCTATGGACTGTATCAGTACAATGTGATGCCATTTGGCCTATGCAATGCTCCCTCCGCTTTCCAGGCAATGATCAATGATGTGCTAAAGGAACTACTGGATGAAGGAGTAGTTGTCTATATCGATGACATCCTCATCTACTCGGAGACTGAGAAAGAGCATGAGCTATTGGTCAAGAAGGTACTACAGAAGCTTAGGGAAGCTAAGCTCTGTGCCTCGATCAATAAGACATCCTTCCATGTCCGAGAAGTAGAATACCTAGGCTATCATATCTCGGAACAAGGAGTATCTATGTCAGAAGACAAGGTGGAGGCAGTTAAGGAATGGCCGGTCCCTGAGAATATCAAGGCAGTACAGGCATTCCTCGGATTTGCAAACTTCTATCGCCGCTTTATTGAAGGCTTCAGTAAGGTTTGCAAACCACTAACTGACCTCCTGCAAAAAGACAAGAAATGGTATTGGACAGCAGCACATGAGCAGGCCTTTGAAGAACTCAAGAGGCTGTTTACAAGCGCTCCAATCCTCCTTCATTTTGACCCTAGTAGGAGAACGGTGGTCGAGACAGATGCCAGTGATTTTGCCAAGGGAGCGGTGCTCTCTCAGTATGGGGATGATGGGAAGCTACATCCGGTGGCATTCTATTCTAAGAAGTTCTCCCCTGCTGAGATCAACTATGACATTCATGATAAGGAAATGGGAGCTATTGTAGCCTCTTTCCGGGAATGGGAACACATGCTCAAATCTTGTGAGCAAGAGATCACGGTTTTTACAGACCACAAGAACTTGGAGTACTTTAATTCTACCAAGGTTCTCACTAGGCGGCAAGCTAGATGGTCCGAGGACCTAGCAGGCTACAATTTCAAAGTTGTCTACAGACCGGGAGAAAAGAATGGCAAGACTGATGTGCTATCTAGGCGCTGGGATCACCGCCTTGGAGAGGGAGGTGAAACTCTGCAGCCGGAGCCACAGATCTTTTTTAGGCCAGGTCAATTGGTTTTGGATCCTGCAAAGCTGGCGGCTGTCAGGGTGAATCAATTGCAGAATACATTCTTAGAGCGCCTATACACGGCTGCTAAAGAGGATAGTTTCTGGCAGGAACTGCACCGCTCCCTGGTTGAAAGGAAACCAAATTTGGACCAGAACTTGTCGGTCAAGAACGGTCTCATCTTCTACAAGAATAGATGGTATATACCCAAAGACAAGAAGCTTCAGATGGAAATACTGTCCGATACCCATGACTCTAAGGTGGCTGGTCATTTTGGCCAATTTAAGACACTAGAGCGGGTGAAAAATAACTTCTTTTGGCCCAACATGGATAAGGATGTTGAGGAATATGTCCGGAGCTGTGACAGCTGCCAGAGGAATAAGACCTCAAGACACAAGAAGTTTGGTATGCTCCAACCGTTGGAGATACCCTATCGGCCATGGACTTCCATCTCTATGGACTTTATTGTGGGACTACCGGAATCTAGTGGGTTTACAAAGATCTGGGTAATAGTGGACCGCTTTTCGAAGATGGCACACTACATCCCTCTTCCTACCCTCAATAAAACGGAAGATTTGGCTAAATTGTTCTTGAAGGAAGTTTGGAGACTCCATGGTTTGCCTGATGACATAGTCTCGGACAGAGATAGCAGGTTCATTTCTCACTTTTGGCAATCTCTCATGAGCCTCCTCAATGTGAAGCTGAAGATGTCCACATCTTTCCACCCCCAGACGGACGGTCAAACAGAAAGAGTTAATCAGACCCTGGAACATTACTTGCGGAGTTATTGTTCATATCAACAGGATGACTGGGCAGAACTCTTGCCTTTGGCAGAGTATGCTTATAACTCGGCGGTCTCTGAGTCTACCAAAGTATCGGCTTTTTATGCCAACTATGGATATGAACCCAGGACCAACTGGCCGGCCCCAAAGGAAGGAGTAGAATGGAACAATCCAGCAAGTGAGGTCATGATTTCTCAATGGGAATCTATCTGGCAGGCTATGAACGCCAGCTTGGGTAAAGCTAGATTAAGGATGGCCCGGTGGTATGATGCTCATGCCCTGGCACCACCTGAAATCAAGCCCGGAGATGAAGTTATGTTGGACCGGCGCAATGTGCAAACAAAGCGGCCTTTGGGAAAATTGGATCAGAAGAAGATGGGACCCTTTAAGGTCTTAGAAGCTATTGGTACCCGTGCCTACAAGCTCTCTCTTCCCCCCCAGATGGGAATCCACCCGGTCTTTCATGTCTCTCTCCTAGAACCCTACAGAGCACCGGTAGATCCTGAGAGAAGAGTTCCCCCACCGGAACCCGAAGAGGTTGAGGGAGAACAGAACTGGGTTGTCCGAGAGGTAGCTGATAGCCGGGTCAATAAGAAGAGAAGACGAGTGGAATATCTAGTGCTGTGGGAAGGTTATGAGAACGAGGATGCTACATGGGAACCTTGGGAGCATCTCAAGAAGAGTGCTGAAGAAGCCCTTCGGGATTTCCATATGAGGTATCCTAAGAAACCCAAGGACAAGCGGATTGTTGGGGTGTAGATTATTTCCTTTGGGTTTTCATTTCCTTGCATATCACGGAGTTTCTTGTCATATAGAATGGTAATAGAATGGTTATAGATCTCGGAGACCAAGATCCTGGAAGAGGGGAGTGGTGTAACGGAGCCATTTCAACTGTCTGGTGTATGAGTACACACAGGGCCCGGTTACATGCTGAGAGTTATTGTTAGAAGCCAGTTGCACGGTGATATGCAAGTACCGGCAGTGTGGTTAGCTACCAGCTGTTAGAGTAACTACATTCCGGGCGCTAGGAAGAGGATCTATTCATGGGAGCAATGACTGACGAGTCTATGCCTCGCCAGTGACTAGAAGACCGGCCAGAGTGAAGCTCTGATCGACCGGTGATCCTCTGTATCCTCGGTGCATTGTAAGTCCGCCGAAGGGCAGGGACTATGCTAGGGAAGTCTACAATAAGCGAAAGCTCTACAGCAATGATTAAGCTTACACCTGAGCGGCAGCTCATTCATGCAGGTCCTCAGTTGTGTGGCAACCAAGGCTGCAGGTGTTACAAAGGCTTTGACTAAGGGTGGTTGCCTTGGGTATCGGAAACACCTGCTGACGCTTAGAGAAAAGCGGGGTAGCGGTGGTATTGTTTCCGGTACTGAGGGAAGGCCCACCGGAACTTAGTAAAGGAGTTAGGAGCAGAGAACAGAGGCCTTCGGAGTATAAGTACTCAGGTTCATTCCCGCCCTTCAGTCCTATTCTCTCCAGTCTTCATCAGAAAGAAAAACCAAGTTCTTATCGGTAGCAGAGCCCTTAAAGATTATTGAGTTCTAGCGATAGTATCTTTGAATAATCTGCAACCTGATTGTCTATCTTGCACGGCCGTCTCTATTCTATACAAATCTATTTCTCTTAGAAAGGACCCCCGTTACACTGAGTTGGCATCCGGCATGGGTGTTTCGGGTGATTCGGTGGTTGACTGGTTGGTGGCTGGGGCTGGGGTGGTTGGTGCGGCTGGTCTTTTGGGCTTGTTGTTCTCAATAAGGGCTGTAAGAGCTGGGCAGTTGTTGGACGTTGAGGCGTGGGCGCCATCGCAGTTTACGCATTTAGCACGTACTGCTGCGCAGCATCCGAGGTTATCATAGCGGCGGCCGTTGCAGTTGGCGGGGCAGGTGTGTTCCTGTTTGGTGTGGTTCTTTGCGCAGATGGGGCAAGTGTGGTGTTCTTGTTTGCAGCCTTGTTCAGGGTGTCCGAATTTGTAGCACTTCTTGCATTGTGTGATAGGAGAGGCGGACCACATGACTGTGCATTTGCGGGGTCTGGAGAGGATGCGGATTGAGGGGCCGATTAGAGCGGCGTCAGATGCTGAGACTGTAATTACGACGGTTGACGTTTTCCTACTGTTGCGTTCGGAATCGTTGGGGTGGAGGAAGCGAGTAGCGATCGGGGCGATGCCGGAGGCGAGGAGGAAGATCTCAGGGAACTTGGCATTTAGGTCCTCTTTTGTCTTGAGGTCGAATAGGGGGATTCCGTGGATGGCTATGTCCACGTCTGTGGGGGCGGGTCTGAAGGTATTGAAGGGGTTGTGTTCAGCGTTGACCCTATTGTTTAGAATTGCGGTCATTGCTTCGAAGAATGGGGCGTAGACTGATGAGGGGACGGTGGGGGCTGGGAGGACAGTGACGGCTCCTCTCTGGTTTATGGTGACGGTGAGTGCGGTGACCGGGGCGACTTGGTTTTGGGAGGCCATGAACTTTCCGAAAGTGACGGATAGTTCGGCGGCCAGTGTCTCTGGGGATTCGATGGGTTCAGGTGTTTGTCTGGTCGCGAAGAAGCGACGCTGGACGGCGGGCAAGGTCTTTGGCCCTGGTTCTCTTGCTTTGGGCTTCTTGGCGGGGGTGCGTTTCTGGGGGGCTTGTTGCCATTGGTGGAGAGTGTCTTGAGCGACTTGGACATATGAGCGGGTCTGTTGGGTAGTGGCTCTGTTTGGCCTGGTAGCGGATTGAGGGGGGTTGGTGGGCTGCTGCTGGGGGCGGGGTTGCGGCTGGGCGTTTCGCTGAGTCTGCTGTGCGGCAGGGGGGTTTCTGGGGGGAGTGGTTACTTGTGGCGTTGGTGGAGGTGGGGCAACTCTAGAGAGGGCGCTGATACGGTCATGAGCCCTGTCCACTTTGTTACCGATGGTGGAAAGTTGGGAGGCAGTTTTCTCGTGCTCATCTGTGAGCTCTTCCAACTGACGGATGAGGATCGCGTTTTGGTTGACGATGCCGATGGTGATGGTTAAGAGAAGTCTCTCGAGGTGGGAGGTGCTTTCGTGGGCGAGCAACTCGGCAGCTTGGGTTCTGAGGATACTGGAGTTGGTGATGCAGAGGACATCCTCATCCAGTTCAGCGAGGCGTAGTCTATCCATGACATTTAGCAGGTCTTGGGGGGGGCTTGGCATTGTGAGGGTGGTTGAAGCCTAAGTATTAAAGACTTTTGGCTTCGTGTAACGTGGTTGCAACGAAAATCTTGGTGGTGAGTTTCAAAAAATCGAATCAATAGCGGGGAAGAAGGTGGTGTTTCCTCCTTAGTTCCTTCCACATTCCTATATTCCTTGGCGCATGGCCTGAATAAGATTGCGCGACCGTGCTCATCTTCCGGGCCATAGGAACACTTAATATATATAAGCACTTATCAAATAATTTGGAATTTATGCTAGATGATAACGGATGTACCGGCTTACTCAGTGACTCAACCTATCACATCCCGACTTGGCCTGCGCAGCTGCGGGATAGAAATGGTTAGTAATCAGCCATAAGTAATTCGCTGGTCCGTACCACTGCTATAGCACGTTCAGAATCCATAGCGAAAAGATCGAATTTGCAGGCGAGTTTTCTTGGCTTGATTTGACAAATTCCAAATAAAAATTTACCAATGCGTAAGGTTGTCAACGATCACAATTAGTTAACAAATGATAGGTTTCTTCTGCGTCTAGATGTAGGCTCGATCTTCCAATTAGCTCCTACATACACGTAGCTGGTTGAGCACTGAACTACATACTCTACATCGAATGAGCTGCAGCTGTTTTACCGTTCCATCACTAATTCAAAATCCTTATTGATATCCCAATATCAAGAAGGGAATACGCTTGCATGCGACATTGGCCATGGAAGATCTAGACTTCATTAGACGATACATTTGGAACTCGGTTATTTGAAAAATCATACAGTAAAACAGTTTCAAAACAGTATTGGTTGTCGATAAACATAGAAATTCCACCCTTATATTGATATATACTACATGTAGGTACATACATCATAATGATAGGCTGCATATTAGGTGCAGCGGATCGTTTCGGAAGTTACCTGAGTACATGTAGCTCTTATATGCATTCAGGTAAACCTATACTAGAACTGTACTACTGCATGTTGGTATACCATAAAGACGGTGTGCACGTTCTTTACGACGCGGTATTTTTCACCGCTCCAGCCCGAAGCAGCGAAGATGGGGGCATACCTTGAAGACCTCATAAAGTTAACGAATTTTATCAAGAGGTACAGAGACATTTTAACACAATGGTTAAGCATAATTAGAACCAACAATATATATATGTAGTCAGTGGGTTGCCGTTGTACCGTGATGACCGGGGGGATTGCACGACTTACTGATCAATCAGGTATTGTAGTTGCCCGGTTACAGATTTCATCATACATGTATTACTAACTCCTATGGCTTAAAGATATCTATGATTTGAAAGTAGGCCCTTGCAGCTTATGCCTGCAGAAGAAATCACTATAGGATTCAGCTCTCTGTAAAGTCATCTTTTTTGATTAGAATATTCAAGTTTAACCTGGTTTCTGGGCACTATTTGACATTAACTGGGCAAAATAGAGTTTCCTTGGTCACACTACTGACTGCAATAGCTGGTGAGTATGGAATGAGTCGGATATCAATGCTTAGCCCCCTTAAACGAACTGGATATTCCAGGGCTCTTGGTACTATTGTATCATTTGGAAGACATCTAAGGTATAAAAGCTCACCTTCCAGCAGTTAATCCACCTCTTCACCTCTTCACCTTCTCAATCATTTCAGTCTACATCAAACCATTGACTTTCACCATGGTTCATTCAGGCTCCATCTTCTTGGCTCTTGCCTCCTCCGCCCTCGTTACTGCACGTCTTTGCACTGATGTCGACGTCTGCCTCAAGGTCACCACCAAAAATGCGCAGTTTGCGTTTCCCACGCTCGAGACAAACGAGCAGGCTGCTGATCTTCAATTCCAATTCGCGCTTCGTGATCAGGAAGCTGTAAAACCGACTGGCTATGAAACAGTTACTGGAAATTACACCATAAACGCCCGTTTTTGTACTCCCGATACCCCCGGTGCCAATTCCAAGACTATCCAAATCCTTACCCATGGAATTGGTTTTGACAAGAAGTATTAACCCCACCACTCCTCATTATTCTATCATCCATCTCTTCACCCTTTTCCTTATTATCACTCCAACTTTCTTCTAGGCCTATTGCTCACATATTCTAGTTACTGGGACCCGGAAGTCTCTAGGAGCAACTATTCTTATGTGGACACTGCTCTTGCGGCTGGATACTCCACCTTCTTTTACGACCGTCTCGGCAATGGCAAATCATCCAAGCCTAACCCGAACACCAAAGTTCAGTCTTTTGTCGAATTGGAAATCCTGACACAGCTCACCACCTTGATCCGTGAGGGCGCTATCGGTCTCGGCATCACTCCGGAGAAGGTTATCCATGTGGGCCACTCGTACGGCTCTATCCTGTCCAACCGCCTAGCAGTCGACACCCCTGAATTGTCTGACGGACTCATTCTCACCGGGTACGGACATAACTTCAAGTGGATGCAGGCCTCCCTCGTTGCATGGGGTTTCGAGATCGCGAGGCTACAGGACCCCGTGAGATTTTCAGACTTTGCAAGTGAGTACATCACATGGGCAACCAAATGGTCGAACCAATTCTTCTTCCTAAAGTACCCCTTCTTCTCGACCGAGGCTTTGGACTACGCGGAGGAAAATAAGGGACCCGTTGGACTCGGAACGCTATGGACTATTGGCATGGGTGACTTTGTGGCCTCTCAATTTGAGAAGCCGGTTTTGGTATGTTCCGATTTCCTCTTCTTTTATCTGTGCGTGTGGAATATCTGTGCTAACTTGAGTCTCGTAGATCATCACCGGTCAGTATGACCTTCCCTTCTGTGGTGGAAACTGCACTGGGATCTTGGAATCGAGTGAACCGTACTTTCCAAACTCGACGGCGTTGAAGATTGTGTTGCACCCAGATGCTGGACATGGTATCAATTTGCAGTTCAATGCACAGGATGCATATAAGACTATTCTTGATTTCTTGGAGGAAAACTTGTAGTCTGTTAATGGCATTATTGTATCTTGTAGAGTAGTCTAATATCCCTAGTTAGAAACCGTTGAATAGAAATGTTTTATAGCCATCCTTAGTAGAACAGAGTGGGGCAAGAATCAGTATACACACACGTAGGTTAGAGATGAAAGAGCAGAGTAGGGATAGATTGATACGTCTTTCGTACTGCTAGATTTTAGTGAGAGTTGGCCACCATAAGTAAATATATCTCAAAGAAAGTTACCAAGGCTTGTACTGTCAGTCATTCCCCTAACCCATGCAACACATACCTAACCCTATTGCCACGTTCAAAACCCACAACGAAGCCCGTTAGCTTGTTTTAGGAGCTCGGATTCCCCATAGATGAGGGGCGTTCAGCAGGGTGTTCATTATGGAATAATACCATGATGAGGATCTAGAAGGTATCACGCGGTAACGGCGGTTTCAACTCGTACTCAGCACGTTTGGTAAAGCTACATGTAGGTGTTATTCATCAAGCAAACCAAAGGCTCTTAACCCTCACCCCCTGCGTGCGGTCAAGTTAGATCCGGGCTGATAATCTTTCCCTAAACCACACACTAGTTAGTAGGGCTGAGTGACCCACGACTCGAGGCACATCTAGGACAGAGAAGCAATGACTCTCTACAAAGTAGCTATGTATCCAACTCTATACGCATAGTTTGACTGATTAGATTGAGTAATCCCCATGATTACTTTGACCTAAGCTTTTCCCCAGCTCGCTTGGCGGTACATAGCTTTTGAAGCTAGGGTAACGGTCGGGACTGGAGGCGGAAATTTAATATAATCCTAGCTAGGCTTCCGCTTCCAACGGCAGGGTATATATTGGTTCTACACTGAGGCGACGTCCGCTATATCGGCCTGGTGGGGTATTTAATTTGTGTATTTATAGCTGGGGCTGCCTTTTGCTTGTAGATACATATACTTGTAGGGACTACATGTAATATAGTGGAAGAGCGGCCCCAAACCAAAACTTGACTTGTAGGAGGCTCGGGTACGACTGTTTGTGGTTTGGGCGAAGGGCTTGTCCGTCTTGAGAATGGAGCTTATGCCTTCGATCCAGCCATTACACAGCCACCATAAGATTTTGATTTCTTTAGAATTTCCCCCTATATAATCAATCTCACGGTTACTTAGTTTATAGTAGCCCTGTCTACGAAGGGATCGGCCAGTCACAGTGCATCACTCGATTTCCTTGGCATCCACAATTTGCTGTAAATCTTTGAATATATGTATATACCGAACGCTTAGAAGGCTATCATCCTTTCTTATAGCACAACATCGCCTATCGTCTATGTGTGGTACGTGTTGAAGTATCGGGCCGGGAGTGAGAGGGCCCGTAGGCGCTAGTGCAAGGCTAGGGACTCACACGGGCAGGCAGTCAAGCATGACATCCCCTCTGTCCACCATCCATCTTCTCTATTTCCATCTTCTCTATTTCCATCTTCTCTATTTCCATCTTCTCTATTTCCATCTTCTCTATTTCCATCTTCTCTATTTCCATCTTCTCTATTTCCATCTTCTCTATTTCCATCTTTTTCTTTCCTACCTTAATACCTGGACTTGCCACCCTCTGGTCACCGTCATCATCACCAGCTTCGCCCGACCAGAAGCCAAACCCAAACACACGCAGCCATTACCACTGAACTGTGCTCATCGACGCCTGTAGATATGTCCACCGACATTAACACGGCAGCTGGTTATTGTTTTGGGGCGTGGAAATGGTAGATCTAGAGGAGGAGAAGTGCAAGGCGGAGATAGAGGTAAACGTATAATATACTCACACCAGCCTGCCTATCAGCCCCACTAACAACCATCCGTTATAATTGTAGCTTATTCTGACTGCTCTGGCCTTTAGATCTCCCCTGTCTATTTAAGAAGACATGGAACTGAACTGGTGGTGGAAGAAATCTAGAGATTACCCGGTACCACCGCGCCGGGGCCTGTACGGCGTTACCCACACGAGTCGTAGGAAAGCTCCCCCGATAGCAGTAAGGAGTGCGTTCTTCGGCGATTTTGAGAGGATGCAGAATGTAGATATTCCGACACCGACGACGACCTCTTGATCAATTGAGCCGCAAGACGGGACTTGGGTGGCTGCTGATTAGATCGCCGGACGGCAGGTAGGCAAGCCTGATATCATGGACGCATGAACGACGACTGTCACTTTGAATCTCATGTGGGAAATATCCTTAATCGGCAGCGCCAGTTTAAAAGAGAGTTCTCTCCATTGACAATCAGTCCAAGCGGGTATAACTTTTCTAAAAGACAGATCCCATATAACGAGTGATCTCCTATGACCTCATTCGGACGGGGAGTGGGGGTTTGGAATTACCTAGTTAAGGTTTTTCTCTTTGCTACACCACAATATAATTTTGCACATAAAAGGATTCCTGGGACGGTACATATGCTCGTCTCCATCCCTCGCCGTCCCCGAGCCTCCGACAGCTGGATGATGCACTTAGCCGTGTCTAATCACTGCAGTAGCAAGCTCCATAAGCACACCTCGTGTGCGACAGCCCAGGGGCTCTCTTTCCCCCCTCAGGATTGAGACTAGGATCTGGAACTAGCAACCGAGACTTAGAGCAAGGCTGGGACCGATACATACATAATGTACATACTCTTGTTAGGTACATACATGTATGTAGTATCTCCGCAAGACTACATGTAAGTAGTGTAGCCGACTATTGCGGAGCTAGATAACTACGGTATACCAAGCCACATATTTGAATGACAAACATGATCCATATACTGCTGCGCAATATATTGCTACTACCTAACTACATGTACCTCTTAGGTAGGAAACGGCTATCAAGTGATAAATGAGTACATGTGGCTATGCACGGACACGGGCCAATTCTGCCTTTCGTAAAAGGCACGGACCAAAGATCTGTTTACTAGTACTTGTTGCATAAAACTCTCCAAGGTGCACAATAGTTCAAGTGAAGTTCAGTCACAACTCGATATGCCGGAACTCAATGCACGAGGTTCTCTGAGAACATTATTTTTCCTACTGCAAAATCAATTTGCTACCCCGGATTTTTTGCTATCCCGTACGAAATCCTTAGAATCTTGGCAATCCGGCATCGAGTTGCGACTGTGCATTCTTAGCGTGACATTATCGCAAGCATATTCGTTTCCGTGACAGGCACACAACGAATAAGTTTACAGACACCTCTAAAAAAACAACTTGGGCTCAAAATTTAGAAGAAGAAGCAAAAGGAAAGCTTCTGTGAAGCCCCACGCGGGGGTCGAACCCGCAACCTTGAGATTCCGCTTAAGAGTCTCACGCTCTACCGATTGAGCTAGCGAGGCGCGAGTGCAAATCTCTTCCCGTCTTTTTTAATCCGTACTAAAAAGCCAGTCCACTATTACTTACATACATAATGTAAGTACTGGTACTGTTTGTACTTTCACCCAGAAATCATTAGCAGCAGCAGTGGGGCTTAATAGCGCCCGTTAAGGGGATGCTGGGTTAAGGAAAGTGATTTCTCGTTTAGCTTGGATTTAAGGTTTAGTAAATGTTGAACCTAGCAATATACTTTATGCAGTCAGTTTAAGCACCCGCACGAACCTCCTCTGCTACTAAATCTAGATCTACATACTACATGTAGTATACTCTACATCTCAGAGTAAAGAACTAAGATCTAAACACAACACTTCCGGGAATCGCTGATAACTACCGCGTAGCTCTAGTATGGTGAGCTCACGTCTTATGTATTTTATCCCCATATACCAACTAATAATAAGGCCGTGGGCTAGGTCGAGACGTATTTCATCACTCGCTGACGTTAGTTTGAATGACAACATGTCACGTCCCAATCGCCAGAGCCGCGACTGCGGGGCTGAACAACAACACCTCGTGCATGACCAGGCGCCCTCCTGCTCATCGCATCTTTTATGCATTTCACATTGTTCACGGCGTCAAGTTTCAGTGCCATCCATAGAGCCCAGAGGAGGTACTTATCCTTCTCTATGATGCTACTCTACAAGGCCCCATACATGCGATAGAACTGACGTCTCTGAGTACTATTCAAGGATCTCAGCTCTTACATAGCACGACCGAACAAATGCCTCTTTTCAAGCTCCCCAACGAACTGTTGATCTCCATCGCCGAGCACCTAGACGTATCCGGCATAAATAATCTCTCTCGAACAAATCGTCGCCTATGCATTCTCTTAACATCACTATTACATGATAGAATGGACTACGACTATGTTCTCTTGTGGGCAGCAAAGCATCAGCGAAAGGCACTGCTGGAGATTGCTCTTGAAAAAGGCGCAGACATCGAGGCTGCAGACGATTCGGGTCGGAATGCTCTCAGCTGGGCAGCAGCTTCCGGTTACAACGATATTATATTTTATCTACTTGATGAGGGAGCCGATATTGAAAGCAAGGATTCTTTAACAATGACCGCTCTTCACAGAGCGGCAATTCATGGCGCTGAACGGACGGTTACGATTCTCCTAGAACGAGGCGCTAATGTTGCTGCGTGCACCAGTGTTGATGACACTGCGCTGCATTGGGCGTCGTTCCACGGCCATCTAGGAGTAGCGAGGATTCTTCTTGATGCAGGAGCTCCTGTTGATGCGAAGGGAGGCCAGCTCAAATACACACCCTTGATCAGCGCAGCATACACCGGCTGGGACGAAGTGGTGAAGCTTCTTCTAGACTATAAAGCTGAAATTTCTGCGCACACCAACCAGAACGATACGGCGCTACATTATGCGGTCGCTGCGAATTCAACTTCCATTGCAAATATACTACTAGATCGGGGAGCTTCTATCGAGAGTCCGGGTTCAAATGAGATTACCCCCCTTGGTGTAGCCGCCCACAGAGGGCATCTTGAGGTTGCGAAAATGCTTCGACAAAGAGGAGGCAACGTTCTGGCCCGAAATGTTGAAGGTCAAACGGTATTGCATCTGGCTACAAGAGATGGACATGTTGATATGGTTCGGCAGCTACTGGATGATGGTGCCGATATTGCTGCACAGGATAAACTAGGCAAAACGGCACTGCACACCGCAGCAGTTTTTGCCCACGAGCAGACAATGATGATGCTTGTGTCTAGAGGGGCGAATCTTCTTATGAAAGATGAAGAGGGGCGGATACCATACGATATAGCGGTTGTATACGGCTGGAAAGACATAGCGGATACTCTCCTCGATCCAAAGATGGAATCATTACTCAGCCCCAGACGCCGTAAGTGGCGCCGGCGAGCGGGAGATTGGATGAAATCTCTTGAATCCTCTATCCACCGGAAAAAAGGGAAACCAGTATCCTGAGCCTATCTATAGCCTATTACACCGTCCTTGTTTGTTCCGTATGCCTCAATTGATATTTATGGTCGGGAGTTCGCAGAAGCCGAACGATGAGTTGTGGACAATATGGAGGAGGAAAGCCTTAAAATCTCTTGCGATAATATTTTTTACCATTTTTTTCTTCTTCCTGCTGGATGTGTATTTTTTTATTTTTTTTTATCACCCTGGTGGACCTTAATTCCTCTGTCTGGTTTAAACAACTTTGACTCGCTCTCTTCAATCCGTTTTGTCTGGCGGTTAGTATTTATAATACATAGGCAAATCCAACATGGCAAGGCTTTCTTATGTTTTTTTTTACATGCCTACAGAGCAACAGAGTGCGCACTGGGGTTGCAAGTATAAGTAGGATCGTAGTTGACACCTTCCCCCTGTATACTGAATACAATATAAGCATAGCATTAGGCGCAGGAAATATCCGATTTACGCATCCCCCATCAGCGCGGTTTATGGAAGCGGAAAAATGACACTGGATACGCCTGCACAGGCAAAACTACATACTTGGAAGGTAAATACGGATATAGGCTCGCCGGATACATCATTAGTAGAAGAAACCTTAGGAAGCCCCCTGAAGCTCAAAAGTAGATTGAGTGACAAAACTGTTTGTGGTATTGCCCTCGATATGGAGATTCTTAAATGCTACCAATACGAGTTGAAAAGTGATCTTTCAAGCTGTCAGAGAACCCCAAACTGCTTGAAAGATAACTATCGAGAGCCCCACGCGGGGGTCGAACCCGCAACCTTGAGATTCCGCCTAAGAGTCTCACGCTCTACCGATTGAGCTAGCGAGGCATGATTTTTAGATTGCTGGGCCGTAATTTAGCTATTTTCAGTTTTTAGGTATGAAATTTACCCCCTGCAACACCTAGCGCAACAATCCGGATTCCGGGTATAGCCTATACAACAGAAATTTACAACAATTACACACAAACTTGGCCAACATAAAGGTTTCCAATCCACAGAAGAAAAGAATATAAAGGAAAGAAATCCCCGTTTATAGTACAAGCACGCGCGACTCCAATTAACAATACAAAAAAACGACTATCTGGCTAAAAAGAAATCTAGTTCCGCTAAAGTTACGGGCTTTCCCGTTCACCCCTCCACTAAATACTCAAATTGTTGAGTTGAGCGACCATTTGAGTTATGACTGCTCGGGCACGGGCGGTGAGGGGCTGATCATGGTTGATAGGAGTGTATTCGCGTCGGAAGTTGATGTAGAATCCACGACTGGTTTTTCACCAGATATCGGTGACTGAATCTTTTGGACATTGCTAGAAACCTCTGAAATTTTCGTTAACTCATCATTCGGGCTCGCGTGAATGGTGGTGATCTCGAGGTCCTGTGTTTGCCCTCGTTTGCTCCTGTCCTGATTCCCAGTAGACTCAACTTCTTTCACTTCCAGAGTTGGTACAGTGCTCTTTACGACAGGCTTGGTACCTTTTAGCTTGGATTTTTGAGTGTTCCGTATGTACTCCCCAATGAATTTCTGGAAATTAACCACTGGCCCCTTGTCTATCCTCCCAGTGATCAACTCTTCAAAAAAGCCTTCAAGTTGAGATTCCACCAAAGACTTTTCGTAAAAGCTCTGAATTGCGCGACCGATATCAGCATGCCCGTTCTTAAGGCTTCGTTCAAGGCACCCTTTGACAACCTTGGAAACGAACTCCTTATCACTGTTGATAACTTCACTAAAAATAGACTTGTTTTGGGGAGATGTTCTTATAACCCCCTCCCCCCGCTTGGTCCCCCTCCCTCCTTCGTTTCCCCCCTCCTCGGCAACGTTTCCATTCCTCCCCTCCCGTTCCTCTCCATTTCTGTTTTCCCCTTGGACCGACTCAATTTCCCCTTCTCTGCGTACTCTTTTGAGCCTCTTGGGAGCTCTAAAGTCAGACATCGCATCACTCGGATGTCCGAGAGTCCGTCCCATATTATTCTGCGAATTTGACGGAGTGTTTTCGATATCGATCTGATCCTGTTTTAAGAGCATAAGCCTTTCTCTCTTTTTGCCATCGGCCCCTGTATTCGTGACAACTTTCGAAGGGCCTACTATTGTGTCGGATCCAGTTTTTGGCTCGGCTATAGGTTGGCGCTCTGGAAGATCCATATCAGATTTCATTGCCGCCTTATCTACCGATTTTTTCCTCAAATTCCTCTTCCGATAGCCATCGATCATACCTGGTTCCATCAAACTTGTAGTCTTCTCCGTATCCTGAACCTTAGACGGTTCCGAACTAAGCAGCGCCGCGCCTCCAGGCGTCCCCTCTGCCCCCAAACCATTCCCTCCAACCGTAGGGTATGAGCCATTCTGCTGTTGATGAGGCGCCGGACCAACCGGAGTCTGTGGAGCCATGCTTGGGGCCTTCATTTCCGTCTGAAGATTTCTCATGAGCTTCTGGAATTGAGCATACTGCTCCGGGGTTGCCTTTCGAGCAAGCACTTTGTCCATCAACTCTGAAATTGTGGTGTCTTTTTTCGATAGTTCGTACATCTCTCGGATGGCCCGGACCTGATCCGGGTGATTGTGTCTTGTAGCAACCTCAATCGCCACGTTGACTATATGCTGCAAGCGTTCCCTTCCATCAGCTGTCTTACTATTCGGAGGAGTTGGGAGTCCGCTCGGCGGAGGTGGCGGAAGTCTTGGCAGAGTGAGTTTGGGCTTTTCCATTGTGTTTCCGTCTGACATCGTCGGCATGCTGAGATTGTGATGGGAAAAGTGGTTGTGGGGAGATGGATGGGGGCGAGGAAGAAGTTATGTAGTGGTTGGGTCCAAGATAAATGCGGACTAGGTGGCAGGGCTAAATAGCGACCCTAGCCCTCAGAGCCTCGGATCATTCACGCATTTGCACAGAAGGCTGGGCGCTGGATCTGAGATTCAGGGGTCAATTAAGAATTGTTCAAAACTGAATGTGGCAATGACATGTGAGGGTCACCTGAGAGCAGATAATAATTGCTATTCTATGCATGAAGATACAGAGTCCAGTGGAACTCGATGCATGACTCGCTCCAAAGAAAATGCGCGTGCGGAATGTCCTTTGTTCTTACGTGTTATTTTGTTGAAATCATAAAATATCACTCGATGACGTAATTACACACTAGTTGGGTTCGCGCAGCATTGATTGGTGACCACGTCGCTTTTACATTTTTAGCAATGCCTGACAGATATCATCCACTGTTGTGGTATGCGCTACAGGTATTGCGGAGAAATATTCGGCCACTGTTGCGCTTGATACATGCCTCTCCAACCTTTATCGAAGTAACAATATATCATTACCGAGCGCTGATCATGAGTGATCCTTCATGATCCAGTTTCTTCTCTCCGGTCCCGTTCTCCATAACTCATCAGCGGTTCTGGTGTTGGTCTACTATCTCCCTGATGTACTTTGAGCGATAAAGGTTTCTCCTAGTAGCAGAAACCTGATATCTCCATATATTCGGATGGAACAAAGAAACACAGGGTCATAATGCCCAATCAAAAGTTTCATCAAATATCCAATTTAGTACGACCGAACTTACAGGAGAATGAATGCTAGAGCCAACAGAAGGTAAGTATTTACTGAATCCTAAATAAGTTCTCTTTCTTCTCAAAGGTGTCAAAAACAGCATTCTCTGATGTGGCAGATCTTATTCATCTTGAAACATCAAGCAGCACAGAAATTCGGATTAACTCAACTTGAAAAAAATCGTTCTACAAAAGGACTCTATGCAAACTAGAATGAACCGACTGCGTATACCAGAACATTCTCAATTTCATTCCCAAAGAATACAAAACAAACTTTCCCCCAGACTCGAATCACGACTAATGGATACACACAGCACCTTACCACCTCCCGTTTCCACGCCTCTCCGAGTAACTTTTATAGAAACTCGGATATATCCTCAATGCCTTGAAGCTCGCACCCTTCAACGTTCAAAGCGCAATTATTTAGCATGTGGTATTCCCAGGCCCAAACTCATGTATGCAGCTAGCTACATGTATACATTCTTAATGGGCATTTCATTAAATCCGCCGCGGTATCCACGCACGTACTTTCTTCCACCTCAGAAAAAAAGACTACAAGAAGTACCTAACGTATCCAGCGTAGGTCTGTCTGCTTACATAACACAGTGAGTTTCGAGTACAGTAGTTATGGCGTGTTTGTCAAGGATGATAGGTGAGATGAACTTACGGGTCACAATAAGGTCAAGAGAGTGTTCGGAGGCAATGAAGACGTGACTCTTATACTTCTTGGTGGGAACAGGCGATTATTTTAATATTTACTACACATAGCTAATGATATATTCTCTCTTCCTTTATAAATAACCAATCCATTCCCCGGCCCTCCCCGGCCTATTTCGTGCCCTTCTCTACCAAAAAGAAAGAATATCTCCACCATCAAACTCATCTTCTTCCTCATTCTTTTGTATGTTGGTCTTCATAGTTGCAACACGCTTCGCCAATTCGTTCGCGTCGTTCAAGCTAATCAACTTTCTCTTCCCTGGGTATTTCTCCAGGTAGGAGACGCCAAGTTCATATGTTTTCACGAGGTCTTTTGTATCCACTTTCCAGGTCACGCCATCTTTTGGCTCCTCTTCCTCATCCGTTTGATCAACATCCATAGACTTCGGACTATCCGGCGTCGAGAGGTCTTGTCCTGCTGGGGGGTAAAAATCGTATATTTGCTTATCAACGGCAGTCGAGCGCGCCCGCGAGTTGTATGGCAGCCCTTGCGGCGGATTGCAATAGACATCGGACAAAAACAAAGAAGCCGCGATTTCCATTGGGGTGCGTCCATTGGCGTTTTCATAACGGGTGTATTGCGGTGCCATTTCTGTGAAAATGGTCAGAACGCCAGGCAAGCCGCGTTGATACGCCTATTTCCACGATTGTCAGTTTATCCTGAGATATGTACTACGTAAAGCTTAAGAGGGGGGGTAGCAAACCCAGTGAAGCGGTAGATTTCCTTCAACATCCGCAATTCCCAAGTCCCGGCCCTTACTGTATTTCAAGATAAGCCTGAGAGTGTCCAATTTTTGACCTCCAGTCCACTTAAGCCATGCAGCTAATGGTGTTTGGCTCTGTCCCAATGACCTTTGTGTCCATCCAACCTCATGAACTTCTTTAGGTATCATTTGAAGGATCTTCTTCATATTCTTGATCTCGCCAGCTGAAAGTGCGTGATGCAAAACATTACACCCCTTGCCGTCACGTGCGAAAAAATCAACATCGTATTCAGGTTTCAAAAGCTCTTCGAGGACAGGAACAAGATGCATCCGTCGAGTCATTAACGAAACAGCGTATAATGCGAGGTTAAGAGAGTTGTTTGTTCTTGCCTCTATCGCGCCAGGTCTAGAAAGAAGGAATTGGAATGTTTCCATTGGATATTTCTCGAACCAGCCTTTAATCGCCAAGAAGGGTAGAAGCGTCGTTTCAACACCAAGTCCTTTCTGCAACATGAACCCAAGACCATCTCCTTGCTTCTTTAGAATCTTGGCACGGATATGACTGGGGTTCGCTGCCATAAATTCTTTGAGACATTCATATGGTCTTTCTGACAAGAGCCACTTTATCGAAGCCAAGTTCCCACATGAAACTGCGATGTGCGCCGGTTTGTGTTTCTTGTCACTTTCAGTACCATATGCTGGATAGGAGCTCGATGCCCAATCCTTTCTCTTGGTACCATATACTGTTAAGCCTTGATAGAATTGCGGTTTCTCCTTCTGCAATTCCTCATCAGACTCCTCAAGTTCTTCGAAAGGTATGCCGAAGGGTATTGTCTTCATAATTTCTTCGAGTATCGTGATTCGACCAAGCGTTAAGGCCAAGCGAGTATGGCTGCGGCGAGTACGATACGGCTTCACTGAGAAGTCTGCAGCGTGATGCATGAATTTGTTGGCACCGTTTTCCTCGCAATCATCAGCAAGTTTGAGGAGAAACCTAAAAAGCTCCATATCATCCTTGTAGATTGCCCAGGAGAGCAAGGTCCATTTCCAATTGGCACCGTTGAGGGCACCTGTGCCCGCCAGCTTATCATAATCTTCGCGATCAATAAACCTGCCTTGGGTCATATTATTTGCAGTGAGATATGCCTGGAAGCCTCGTATTAGCCATTGATATCCCGAATGTACGAAGAGTTACTCACAAAAGGCGAAATATCACACTTCGTCAACCCCTTCCTAACCCCGATATTTTCAATCGTAAATTCGCTGTTTCCTTCAGTTTCTCTAATTTCATCTTCATCCCCATCCTCATCTGCGCCTAGAACATAGCGTTTTCCAGCTGATTCCCCTTCCGGAATCTCGTATTGTTCTTGGACAATTCCCATGATCAACTTTGCCATTTCCCAATTTCGATTTCGCAGAGCCACAAAGAGGGTAGAATGACCAAAAGAGTCAACCACTGCCATTCTGAGCGCCGGCAATGTATTTTCTCCCTCCCCGGAAGGGCCAAGAGTAAGTTCCTTGACGATCGCTGCGTCTTCTGGAGTTCCACGCCAAATGGCTTTAAACAATCGTCGGTAGCCAGCTTGCACATCGCCCTCACCAAGATAGGGGGTTTCGACCTGGTTCGGTGGCAGGAAAGTGCAATCTTTCTTATACTCTTCCTCTTCCCTCCCCAAACGCTCTATCTCCCAATTATCGGACGAGTTTGAATTGAATAGCTGTCTACTCCCACGATTCATGTTCGCTTCTTCCTGCATTGCAAGCTCCTTCTTCTCGGGGAGCAACTCGTGATAAGTCTTTGCTCCAAAGGAGACAAGAACACTCTCTGTCTTCTCGTAAGACTGCAGAAGCTCCTCGACAGCGGCTTTCTGGGCCTCGCTCGCATACGTTCGTTTATCATCCTGTTTAGGAGGACCCTTTTCGTTGTGTGCTCGACGGGCTTCGTTAGTCTCCACGAGGTGTATCTCCGCAAAGTATCGTCTATAGGTCCCCGGTTCAATATCATCGAGGGCCTCGGGACCAAAAATGATGCGTTCTCTCCATCTCGTTTGTTTCGGGTCCTTGTAGTTCTCTAAGAACTTCTTGCAATGTTCAATTTTGTCTCTCAGATGCTCTAGAACTGTTTTACCAAAGACCGGCAGGGTGCCACTCCACCTCTGCGCACTGTAGGTCGATTGAATAATCTGACTGACATCTGCACCGGCAGAAACGAGTTTAGGTATCAGATCGTAAGCACCGAGATAGACAGCAATTTCGATAGGCTGTATCACATCAGCACCGAAGAGGATCTGCTGGTGCGCACTGTCATGATTTTTCTCAACTGCGGAAAGATGGTAAACGTATGATTCTAAGTCGATCTTTCCCTTGGCTCCGTGATCAAGAAGGTAATGAGTCACTTTCTTGAACTTCTCCAGTTCGTAATTGACAAGCCTAGATATTTTATTTCTATAATTAGTCACTATACTCTTTAGAATATAAGTAAAATGTGAGAACTTACACAGAGATCAATGGTATTTGTGAGGCTTTGGTATGATAACCGATCCGTTTGCCTGCAATATTATCGATAACACTCATAACCCCCGGCTTATCCAGCTCAAACATTTGGTCTAAAACATCGAAATCTGCTGCCAGAACGGCATAATGGAAAGCACTCGTATTGTTGAAACTGTTTGCTTGCGCAGAGCTTGCACCTAGTTTAAGTAGGCATGCGGTCATGCTAGCTCTCTTCTCGACATCCCTTATCTTGAGCGGGAGTGCCAGGGCCAGAATTGCGTCAGAGCCCTTCTTGCCTTCACTTTGGTTGTACGTGTACTTCTTCATTGGCAATAGGCAATCTGCTCCATATTGAGAGACTAGAGCTTCGACAATATGTTCATGACCGGAAACAATAGCATGGTGGAGAGGAGACATCCCGTGACTGCAGCTTTGATATTAGCGTATTTAAATATAAGTGGGGGTTTGTAGAGTTACTCACTCCCAATCGACAACATTTATATCATAGATATCATCGTCTTCCTCGTCTTCGTCATCAAATGCATCAGGCTCCTCGGGAGGCTGGATCTTGACAAAGCCCTGAGTTGTGGTTGTCTTTTTGTCCCCAGATTCTGCGTCGGACATCTGATCATAGCTACCTTCTTCTTCCTCGTCATCATTCTCATCCTCATCATCCCTATCCTCATCCTCATCCTCATGATCAGGGTCATCAACCCCTCCCATTACTAAATCAGTACTATCTGACTGGGTAGATTGTTGTGCGCTTTGATCAGGATCCTCTCCCTTTGCAGCCTTCTCTGCCTCAGCCTTTCTTTCATCTCTCTCGTCCTTCTCTTCTTGGTTCTTCAGACTCCTAGCCAATAAAATCTTCACAATATCCAGCCTACCACTTGCAGCCGCCAAATGTAACGCTGTCCGTCCATCTTGCAATCTTGCCACCAGTTTTGCTCCAGCATCAACAAGAACCTGCAAGGTCTCCACTCCAGTGCCCGCGCTGATACACGCAAGATGCAATGGAGTCCTTCCACAGAAGTCACGGCGGTTGACATCCACTCCTTCCTGTGAAACCCAGTTCTTCACATATTCAACGTCGTCCTCCACGATCGCCTGGCACAACAACTCGGTCGAGCCGACATACGCCATATCCATGTAATCTTCAGGGCCCAGCGGATAGAAAGAGCCAATCTCTTGTCTTCCTGGATCATCCCGTAAGAATGTGATTGGGCCACTGACATAGATTTTGCTTTCCTCTTCGTATATCTTTCTCTCCTCATCATCCACAGGCTCTGGGCAAAATCCACAGCAGTCGACCACAATATCCTTCACATTTCCAAAGAACACTGGATGGCGATGCAGCGCAACCTCGCGATGGGGCGGCTTGTTCATGGGATTCCATTCCGCGTTGAGCAAGAGGTCCTTCTTGTAGAAGAGCTTCTCGATCCTCTTTGCGTTGTACTTTTCGCCGTATGGGATGCTGAATTTTTGGTAACCACTGACATCCTCAAAATCCCATTCTGCGACTTCGTCATTGACACGTTGTTTTAAATCCTTTTCGTCTTTGTAAACAGCAGTCGTATACTCCTTCTGTGGGCGCCCCATCTCTTGCCTTCGCTGAATAACATAGGACTCCCTATCCTCGGGGCGTGGGAGCGCTTCCAAGACGAGCAAGCGGGCCAGCCCAACAGTCTTCTGGAATGAACGCTCGAATATAGTAGGGTCAATTCTTGAGCGGTCGAGAAAGTCGCAGTAGACTTCGAATCCCCTATGGGAGTACTTGGAGAGACGATTCTCGTAGGACGGCGAACGACGGGTGAGGTCAATATCATTACATTGGGTCATGCAGGCCCCGAGAGCACGTGGGTTCGCAAGGACATTGGTGCCGTCGTAGGCGAAGCACGAGCAATTGACGTCAAAACCTGTGAGGATCTGGGAGGGTGATTTATAGAGACGGAGTACGATCTGAACATGACGATTCGGGTATTGGGAAACGATAGTGATGGTGTTTCGGGTACGGAGTGTACTATTTCATAGTCAGTTTTAATACTATAATCATTATAAGGATACAAAACTAACGTTGTCTCCCAGAGAAGATTATCTTTAATGGTTCTTTCAATCTGCTCCATCTTCTTGATCGCCTCTTCAGGGTCCTCAATACCATGTATGAACAAGTCAATGTCAGAGGCCGGAGCGAGCTTTTGATGATAATACTCGCGAAGGCTTTTCTTGCTCTCTGCGTACTTCTCAGGAACTTTGAGTAAAGGAGTCAAGACGGCCGAACCAGCAACAACTACATTACTCCAGTCTGCGCACTTTTAGTACCACAGTCATGTATGGGAAATAATCAATATATATGATTACATACCCATATTCAACAAAGACCCTTCACTAAAAACGTTGAAGTTGTCTCTAAACTCTTTCAAGCTCTCAACCAGGAAATGCTCTCCAGAGGCCTTTCTATCCTCTTCCTTCAAGGCCATGATATATCTACCAAAAATATTAGTTCAATTCCCCCATTAGACCAATTCCGCTGGGAAACAATACTTTTCGCTTTCCTCCTTTGTCTCCTGCGCCAAATTTCTAGCCCTGATTTTTGCCAATCTGGCATTATCATCTCTGAAGAGCGATATCAAATTGACATTTCCCCGAACAAACTCATGCTCCGGCTTCTGCGCAAAGTACGCCCTCAATGCCGTCTCATATTCTAGATATGGCGCCAGCAGCTCCCTTATCGGCACCCGCGGGTTCTCTTCGACATATTTCAAAAAGTCCCGGACAGGTATCGGAAGTTCAGGGAGGACGGGAGGGAGCTCGACTTCCTCCGCGAGAGGCTGCTTCCTGAGCTGGCTGGCAGAGGACCTCTTCGTCTTGGGCCCAGGAGTGGGAGCGGGCGTGGGCGTGGGAGCAGAGGAGGGGGAGACTATAGACATGGGGTCGGGGGACATAGACGACATAATGCTTAGATGTGGGTATTTTGTAGCTCAATTGGCCGTCAGAAGAGTCAAGTGGGGCTGGGGAAATGAAGAACAGAGCACTGAGGTTTTTACATCTAGAGTCGGGGGAAGACGCGTCTCTTTTATGAAGAGCGCGCGCTGAGGGGGTTAATTGAAGTTTGAAAAGCGCGTTCCTAATTTACGCGTCTGTGCATCGATGGTGGGGTCTCTTTCTCTTTGCAAAGAGTCATAATGATGACGGGCTGTGCCAAAATTCCTTGTAATGCAAAACTGTGCCGGGATGCTGCTTAATCGCTTCTGCTTCCACTGCTGGCTGCATGATGATCGTGATGCTATTCAAACCCGGGCCAGACTTTCCAAATCGCGCTCATCAGCGCAAATCCTCTATATGATATACGTCAAGAAACTTGTTTGCCCAATTCGCATCCTCCAATCGATCCAATCCAATCCATCGCGCTCTCGCATCGCGCGGGGTAGAGAGAGAGCAATCGCGAGGCCAGTCCAACCCGATCAATGCAATGCCCTTCGGGTTCACGCACGGGTTGCTGCTGCTGCTGCATGCACTTAACGCGTTATTCCACGCGTGATCATGTGCCTGTACCCTGCCCTACCCGCCCATCCCCAATCCCTGCCCGGTGAGTCATGAGCTGTGAATGAGTCTTTCTTTGTCTGTGCGCGAAGCCGGCGCATAAATCTTCGTGATAATCTAAGATCGCACCGCGGGTGGGCCTTTAAGACTAGAGTATTTGTTGATGTGGAAGGTGCTACAGAGAGAGGGAGAGAGAGAGGTACACCAAAATCTTGAGCTCAACAGTTTAGACCGGCTGTTGGGTACAATACAACAGAACATATGCCGGACATCCAGAGTGGAGTTAAAGTGTCAAAGACAATTCATCGTCCTGAGAATACTGCCGATATCAAGTCTGGATGTTCTTGCTGGACGGCCTAGAGAGCGAGTAAACTCACAGTATCCTGACGACAATGTACCGTAAGCATAAAAATTTGAATGTGAAGAAATTTTTGTTGGTACAGTACTGAGTCAAATACGTTATTCGGCGTCAGCATGAACCAACTTTCTAGATCGCAAACGAAAAGCCAAATCTTCCAGCTAACAAATCTGGCAATAGAAGCAAAAGAGAAAAAAAATAATGAGAGAACCCCACGCGGGGGTCGAACCCGCAACCTTCAGATGTATTCTAGAGGACCGAAGTCCCATAGAAGTCTGACGCGCTACCATTGCGCCAGCAGGGCTGGATGCTTCTGCGTCGGCCTCATGGCCCTCATGACTGTGTTTTTTTGTTGCCGGGTTTCCGTTTCGCTTGGCACTTGCCAAGGCGCAACGCTGTTGGAGGGGTGGTGTAGGGTTAGGTTTTAGAGCAACCGTTTTAGAGCAACCAGAAGAGATATAGCCGAAATAATCAGCGAGGGCTCTGGGATTTGCTTAAATCCCAGATAAAATATTGATAGAAGCTTATCTGATTCCTCGGTCCCGAAAGGAACTTGTTCCACATACATTCCATCTATCATAAGTCTCACCGGGGAAATCTCTAAGGCCTTATTCGGATGTGTTCTTTCTGACCGGAAGATTTTAAGAAGACAGATTGCATAAAACTAATCCAAAAAGACAAGGACTACAGCAGCTTAATCTACAGCCATACCGTGTAAAGCTGCTTCATCAGTACCAAATCCCTAGACCGACAGACAGTGAGTTACCGAGTGATACACCATGACCAAGATGCCAAGATGCCAAGACGCCATTACCACATCTTGGCACGCCACTCCGATCCGGCCTAGCCGGCCAGGGACCCTCCTCAGCACACCCGAGCCTGACGAAGCTTCACTCGGGATGCACCACACACGCAAGGACCCCTCCTCACCCTCCCCACCCCACCCTCTCCTATGTATGTAAGCACCCCCTCCGCTTCAGCCTCAGGCACAAAGCGCTCTTCCCCCCCCCCCCCCCTCACATGTATTGCGCAATCACGCTGAAACAACCCGCTCAGTCTCAGCGCAAAACAAGCGCAATCCCACTCACTGTGTCGTCTGTCTCGTGTCTCGGAATAGTATTAGTCTAGTGATTTCAAAGCCATAGTAAAGCATAATGAACCTAGCTGGTAGATGTAGAAGACAGCTGTAGAAAATATATAAAGCCACCGTGACTTCTCCGAGGCGAAGGGGGGGGGGGGGGAGGGAGAGCTATATAACCGCATCATCGCATCTCCATCTTCTATCCATCTACCCCCTCCAGTCCAGCTTCCAGAAACCACACCCCGCAGCAACACGAATAACAACCCGTCTACACACAAACCCCACATAACCTAACATACCATAAACAACCATGTCTGACCACACCTACGAGTTCCGCGTCGCCATGTCCTGCGGCGGCTGCTCCGGCGCTGTCACCCGCGTGCTTAACAAACTCGAGGGTACTACCTCCCTCCCCGCACTCCCCTTCCACCCCGCGCTCCCCTTCCACCCCGCACCCCACGCCCCAAACCCCGCTAACTAACACCACCACCAACAGGAGTCAAGGAATTCGACGTATCGCTCGAGACAAAGATCGTCAAGGTGACCACCGAGCCCAGCGTCGACTACGACACGGTGCTCAACAAGATTGGCAAGACGGGCAAGAAGATTGAGAGCGGGGCCGAGATTGTGGACGGGGTCAAGGTGGAGAAGAGTGTGGCTTTGCAGGTGGAGGCTTAGTTAGAGCTTGGTGGGGGGGAGGAGTTTTTTTTTTATATTTTATGTTTGAGCTTCTTTTTTTTTTTTTTTTTTTTTTTTGTAGTGTTTGAATGAGAGCTGTTTTTACTGGCTGTGAACTTGGGCGTGGTGAGCTGTGGTGATGCTGGTGGTGATACCTTCTTTGCTGGTAAACTACGTATTAACGAGCTATATGCTTTTATGCTTCTACAGGAAAAGCACTAGTGATTCCATGGCTAATGCAGTGGCAGTGGTATTGATATAAATTGCGAATAAACTATTAAATACATTTATCGTCCCACAAAAAACAGTCCCAGCAAGTCCCAAGCTACATTTATGATCCCAATATAAAAAAAAGCCAACCCAAACGCCGTCCCCCATTCCATCCACCCCACTACTCCCCCCCCTCCTCCCTCCTCTTCATCCACTCCCCAAAGCTCTTCTTAAACCCCCCCTCCTCCCCCTCCCCCCCCTCCCCCCCCTCCACCCCCTTACCGCCCACCCCCAAATCCACCAGCGGCACCATACACGGCCTCCCATGCGCACACATAAACGGAAACCGACACCCCGCCAGCCCCCTCACCAGACCAACACACTCCCGCATCCCCAACACATCACCAAACATCACCGCCCCCCGACACGCCCGACTATTCACCATCTCCACCAGCCCCACCGGACACCGCGCCAGCGCCCCCCCTCCCTCTGCCCCCCCAGGGGCAACCGGCGAATTGTCTTCAGAGAGCGTGTAGGCATGCCTCCTCACCATCGCCAGCGCCAGCGCCGGCTCGGCGCTGCAGCGGTCCGCGACCGCGGATGGGAGCGCCGTGATGTGCAGCGTCTGCCCCTGCCCCTGCCCCTGCCCCTGCCCCTGCCCCGCTCCCCCTCCTCCTCCGGAGTCAGAAGAAGAAGAAGAAGGGGTGATGTGGTAGACAACCCCCCACTCCCTCAACGCACCCGCATACCGTTCCAGCAGGCACGCGTCGCGGTCAGCGAGCACATACAGCAGCGGTCTCTGCAGCGTCTGCGGCGGCGACGACGACGACGACGTGAGGGTGGCAAAGAGCGCCTCGACGCGGATGCGCTCTGAGGCTGCGTGTTGGTCGAGGAGGACTAGGAGCTCGGGCTCTGTTGCTGCGTTTGGGGTAGACGGGGTGGAAGAGGTGCTGGGGGAGAGGCCGCGCATTTTCAGCAGTATGTACTTGCTGTCCAGCTGTGCGACGACCGTTGCTGTTGCGAGGCCGGCTTTGGTTAGCTTCCCGAGTGTTGTAGTGGAGGCGGAGGAGGAGGTGGTGGAGGTGGTGGAGGCGGAGGGGGAGGTGCCGCAGTGGTGCGTGCAGTTTTGCGTGGTGGGGATGGGCGCTTCGGTGGGTGTGAAGACGGGGTTTGTCCAGTTCTGCTCGCGGGGTTAGTTGTCAATGACCACTGCGCTGGTTTCAGGGAGGGGGCACCTTTAGTAGCGCATCCACGAACGGGCCCTTAGCCTTGGGCGCCTCTGTCCGCGGCTTCTTGGCCGCACCCGCGCGGGAGGAGGAGGACGAGAGCGCCCGTTTCCGCGCAGAGGTGTTGCCGGTGCGGGCGTTGACGACGAAGGCGTGCTGCGAGAGCGGGTTGCGCCAGTGGATGTGGGTGTCTTTTGCGTTTTCTTTGGCGCTGTCATTCGAGGCGTCTGTATCTACTGCCTCTGCCTCTGTCTCTGTCTCTGTCTCTGTGCTGCGGGGCGTGGGGGGCGCAGGTGAAGGGGAAGGCGGAGGAGCGGCGAATGCGGAGAAGCCGGCGCCTTTCCGGCCGTCTTCTTCGCGGGCGTCGTGTTTTGCGGCCTTGACGCGGCTCCAGGGCGCGAGTGTGCGGGCGTCGCCGTGGCTCTGCGGGGCGCTGGGGTTCGTGATTGTGCTGAGGGGCGTGCCCGCCCTCGATCTCGATACCGCACCATTCCCCGGCAGCTCTTTGGGAGTGCGGACCCCCCCCTCAGCGCCAGTGCGGAACCCATGCGCGCCCAGAAACTCGCCCGCCAGCCGCCGCAGCAGCGCCACGACCCCCGCCAACCACTCGCCCTCCAATCCGCCTTTCCCCTCCGTGCCCCCCTCCCCGCCAAGCACATGCGCACCCGCGCACTCCACATCCAGCACAAACATAGCCCACCTCTCCACGCCCTTCCGCCTCCCCCCGCCCTCGCCGTCTTCGGCCCCGAACGTCGACGACGCAAACACCCGGTTCACCTCCGCGTGCAGCGCCGTCGCACTAACAAGCGGATGCCCGTTCACGGCCACAAACTGCAGCTCCCGGCTCCCGTGCCCCTTGCCCGCGCTGATGGCGCCGCGGATCTTGATGCCGCCTTGCACGGCGCGGACGCGCTCCCAGTCCGGTCCGACGGCCTCGCGGCCGTAGATCTGGCGCAGCACGGCCATGCGCCAGCTGCCCGTGTGCGCTGCGCGGACTGCAATCCGGCGCTTCCCGTGCTCGTCGCGGGCCGTGAAGGAGACGCCGGTGGCGGCGGGGGAGAGGAGGAGGAGGAGGTGTGCGGCGCGGCGGGTGATGGTGCTCCATTCGGCCTCGGGGTTGGAGGGGCGGGCGTGGAAGCGGACGGGGAGGTCGGCGTGGAGGGCGTCGATGCGGACTGTGGTGCCGTGGTGGGGGAGGCGCAGGTGTGGCGGGGAGGGCCCGGCGGTGAGCGGGGCGGAGTAGGAGATGCGGGTGGTGTGCGTGGTGTTGCAGGTGGCGTGGCGCGTGGTGAGTGTGAAGAGGGAGTGGGTGGCGAGGGAGCTGAGGGCGAGGCCGCGGGAGCCGAATGTGTGCGTTGTGGGGGTGTATTTGGAGGTTGCTGTAGTCCGTAGAAGTAGAGACTGTTAGCTATATCACCGCCCATAGCTAGCTATAGCTCCAGCAGCAGCAGCAGCAGAAAGGTATTCATATCATATCATGCATACCATACATCCTCCCCACCATGCCCACATCCGCCGGCAGGATGCCCACGCCATCATCCTCCACCACGCAGCTGTTGCGCGCGACGTTGACCTGCACGGACACGCTGCGCGCCCCGGCGTCCAGCGAGTTCTGCACCAGCTCCGACACGGCGTCGGGCAGCGAGGTGATTGCGAGCGTGGAGCGCAGGCGCACGGTGGCGGACGCGGGGAGGGGCTTGATCTGCGGCGCTGCTGTGTCGGGAGGCATTGTTACTGTTGCTTGTGTTGTAGGGGGGGTGGCATTAGCCAGCGTAGTGTGCGGAGGGGGGGAGAAGTGAAGTGAAAAGTGAAGGGAAGCTGTGGGGGGGGGGGGGGGGGAGAGAGCAGGGATGCGGATGTGCATATATGTCGTGCTTGCGTTCTGCGTCCCTTTGTCTTAGGCACGCCGCAGGGCTGGCTGTTCTCTGCAGCACCGGATCGGACGCCATATCCAGCGTAACCCCAGAGAAGGCTACCAGGTCGGCGGCCAGCAATCCCAGGCAGCAGAGCATCTCGGTGCTTGCAGAAACACCTCGTCTCGTCTCGTCTCGTCTCGTCTGCCGCGGCGGTCCAGACGCCTACCAACCACCAAGACCGCCATACGTACCGGTCTTTCTACATCTCATCGTGGCATTGTTTCTGCCTCGTACAGTATCTAGTATGATCTCATTGGCAATGCGGCAATTTTCGCTCCTTGTAAAGTGGGGCGTTTATCTTTTCAAGAAGCACTTGGTTTGAAGCGCCCCCCCTCGACTCTTTCATGATACGCGGTCTTGGCGGCTAGATGCATGTACATATATGTATGGGGTTTCGCGCTGCAAAATGAATCATGAGGCGGAGAATAATGCTGCGGTGATGATAAGAAAGACTGGTATGGCCATATGGGCTTGATAACTGCCATACATACATACATACATACAAGGATATCGTCTATAAGGATAAGTACCTACATAATTCGGCCCTACATATAAGGATATGCCATATATCTTGAGTGAAATCTCACTGAGTATGTACCAAGAAGGCTGCAGAATATACCTGTCTTATTATTCACAGCTTATTACTCTACGCCGATGACAGCGGGAAAGGACATATTAGCGGCTGAAGAAGGCCGCTAGCGATGTAGCAAGGCCTTGTCAACGAAAATTCTAATCACCAGGGCGATCCCCATCATCGGATCATCAGCCGTGGTTGTGGTTGTGGTTGTGGTTGTGGTTGTGGTTGTGGTGGCAGTAAGCTTATGTCGACGCCTCACCCACCGGATGAACCTTGCTGACTGGTAGAGAGGTATTTTGGTTGTTTTGTTCTTGGATTTGGAAAGAGAGGAAGATAAATAAAAAAAAAGAAAACAAGGGCTTTGTTATATGAGAGAAAAACGGACCGACCGACCGACTGACCGATAAACACAAAACGACACACACACAAACAAGCGCGAGAAGCGGGGCAAGTTAAACGCACAACAGGAAGTCTAGCTAGCTGACGGATTGGGAGAAAAAACAGACAAACAGACAGATAGATAAACAATTGGAGAAGAGAGAAGAAGGGGAAGAAGAAGAAGAAGAAGAAGAAGAAGAAGAAGAGGATGAGAGACTAAATAGAAAAAAGAAAAGAGAGAAAAAAAGACATGGACCGAAAAACGATTGACTCCAACCCAACCTTTTACTATAAACGAAAGATAGAAAGAAAAAGAAGAGGAACAAGATGATAAACAAAAAAGCAGATAAATGGGAAAAAAAAAGGAGACAAAAGGGATATCAAGAAACGCACCACCCCGTCCAAAGAAAAAAACTAAAGATCAAAAATTCCGAAATTGTTGCAACGAATGTGGCAGAAAGAAAATAAACGAAAATGAAAAAAAAAAACCCAAAACCAATCTTATCCTAGTGCTACTTTCACGATATCATCATGCTACCTTCTATATCCATCACCTGTATCGCTGGCCCATTCCTCGTTACCGCTCCAGTCACCACGACTACCTTCGTAGCTATTCCTATGACTTCCCATGGCAGAGCCACCGCTCACACTCCCTTCATCCCACTCGCCCCCGCTATTGTCAAAACTACTTCTATGGCCATCATCCATACCACTTCCAGTGTCTGCTAAATCATCATTGTCTTGCTCTCCTGGCTGCAGCGCTCCCCACTCCAGATTCGCCAGCGCAGGGTACTGCTCAATAAGCGCAGTGGGGAACATCATAGTATGACCCATCCCCATCCCCATCCCATCGTGCGACATGGGGCCCATGGTCGGATCCATCATCTGTCCCTGCGCCATCATCTGGTTGCGCGCCCTCTCGGCGCTCTCCTCCTCTAGTAGCGGCCGTATACAAACCCTGCCCGCCTCACTGCGGAAATGGCGTCCCAGCGCATCGGCACGTGCAAACCTTCTTCCACACCCCCAGACACCGCCAGGCTTAAGGTTACCGCGACACACAAATTTCTTCTCGCCCGAGTGGAGGCCCTCGTGACGTTTCCGGTCGTGCTGGCGCGCAAAGGCTTTCCCGCACACCGTGCATACAAACGGCCGCTCATCTGTATGCGTACGCAGATGCGAGCGCAGATTGTAGGCTCGCGTGAAGCGCTTCGGACATAGGTTACACTGGAAGGTGGCGGGGTGCTTTTGGACTCGTTTATCGCTTGCGTTTGTACCTGGCCGCCCGGGCATGGCGAGCCCTAGGAAATAGTCCCTGTTGGGCGGTACGGAGTTTGTGGAGGACCTACGAGAGAGCTTTGAGGACGCATTGGAAGTGACGCTACCTGGGCTACCGACAGGCGCTATGACGGCATCTGAAGGGCTGAGTGAGTTTCCTCTAGAGCGCCCGCCTACAGGGCTGGCGGCGCCCGGGGAGATGGGTCTGGTAATGGGGATAGCAGCGGTAAGAGACGAGGTGCCCGTGTATGGGTCGGACTTGGCTCTTTTTCTTGTCGCATCTTTCAAGCTATTAGTATTGAGCTAATATCATATTCAAAGAACGGAAAAAAAAACTCACTTTTAGGTGGAGGTCTTAGAGCACTATCGTCATGGGTGGCTCCTGGTTTACCAGGGAAAGTGGGCTGTCTCTGTGGGGGAGCAAAGATAACATTAATCTGCGGGGCAAAGCCATCCTCAGTTGCTCTATCAAGCCCGAGCCCATTCAAACGAGGAGATCCTTGCTGCTGGAAGCTGTTCATATCTTGTGATAAGCCCATTGGCGGAACAAAACCCAAAAGCTGGTTATTCTGAGGTAGCATATAAGGACTGTTGGTACTGCTATGGTGGCCCGGGGCAGGGCTGATTCTGGGGGATACATGTGGCGAGACGTCACGTTCAGACAGTGTAAATTGCTCTAATCCAAAGGCATCTCCGGGGCTAGCCCCAGAATTGAGGAATTCCTGCATAGATCCTTGGGGGATGTGGGTTCCCTGGAGAAGTGGCGAAGGGTGCTCTGAGAATTCATGGTTCCTCATGTATGGGCTGTTGGCAGCTGAAGAAATGTCCGAGTATTCACTTGGGGCCTTACGATGGCTCCAAGAGGACTCCTCGTTGTGGGCGTAGACATTTTCCCACTGGTTGAAACCAGTTGATGCGGATAGTATACCAGCAGAATCGGGCTGGGACGTTTGCTGGTTGAGAAGGAGCGGGGGAGTGTTATGCTGTGAGTGGGGGTGTTGAGAATTCATCAATTCGGCTGGATTAATGCTTCCAGAAACGGACTCTTTGTTATCGTAATCGCCGTACAAGTTGTTATCTTGGGCTGGGAATAAAGCAAAGTCTCCAAAGCTTTGAACACTGTTCTGATCTCTCCAGTTCTCGTTAAGTGGAAGCGTAGAGGTATGGAACTGAGGCGAGGCGCTTTGTCTAAGGTTCTCAAGCTGTTGCTGCTGCTGATGATCTGGGCTTTGGTAGCGAAAGTCGGGCGCGGGTCTGTAACCTTGCTCACCCGAGTTTGGATTGAACAATTCGTCGTCCGTCGAGGCGAAGTGGGGGAGATTTAAGCCATTCGGCTGGTGATGTTGGGCACCTCCAGAGGAAGACATTGCAATTGTTCGATGATAGTAATGTGGCGAGGCTGAGGTTGTAGAGTAAGAGGTATGTGATGGATGATGACGATGATGCACACGGTGAGGCTCAGTAAATGTTTTTAATCCAATTCAAGAATAGCCTGGAGCTGAATTCGACCAAAATGGTAGATCTGGTGGCTTGGAGCTATTGGAACTCCAACAGAGTAGCGAAGGCGTATGTTATATGTATGTACGTGCGTTAAACGTGTACGAGGCAGTAGGCACCAGTAGTAGTAGTAGCTTTCAAATATGGAAAGCAGCTTATTTGCGACGTTCTAGAAAAAGTCTGACCACAGGCTGCCATGCAATCCAGACAAGAGGGCGGGAAGGTTAGTTATGGGATACCTTCTTATGCCTCGCAAGGTGAATCCCCGGTGAAAAAAGAATTCAGATAATAATGGGTGGTGACAAATGGAGAGAGAGGGAGACAACGATGGCAACGACAGAGACAAAAAGGAATCAGTGGTACCTTACATACAAAAGTAATATATTCCCAAAGTTTCAGTTAGTTTGGATCCTAAAACGATGATGTATTTCTGGTAAGGCCTGGCGCCCAGATGTCACGATGAAAAGGTAATTGCTGAATGCTTGGTTCGGGCGGTTGATCGGCAGGAACACAGCCGCCTGGTAGGGGCGCTACGTACAAGTTGGGAATGTGACGGAGGAGGAAGAGGGGACAGTATCAGAATAGGTGATTCCTCACAGTGTGGAGGAGGGGTGGGGAAAGACACGGGGTGGTTGAATGGGTACTGAGGCGGAGTGGAAGAGTTCTGCGAGCTTTGGACTTGTGCGGGGGGGGGGGGGGGGGGGGAGAGAGGGGAAGAGGGGGGGAATGGGCGGTGGACTGTCGGATGGGGATTATGGAGAGGATGGTTGGCTAGTATTAAACGCCTGCAGCAGTCGCGATGTCAACTTTAGTCCTAATCGCTTCGATCGCTTGTACCAAGAGAAGAGGTAGTAAGTGCCGCGCTCGTGGGATTCAAAAGGCGTATATACGCTACTCGGATTAAGCTGTTGGGCTGTAGCTTACTGAGTTTAATTTGACTGAGGGCATGGCGGGGTTCTCGTTATCATGAGTTGCCGAGACGACTACCTTGGTTAGGCCTATGGCAATTACTCAAGCTATGGACCCGTTACTTACCGTATTGGGCCACCAATACCCTTCTCGGATCTATTGCAGACGCTTAAAATA